TTTTCTGGTTCCAGATAAATTTTAGGAATGATTTCTCTAGGTGTGTGAGGTATGTCGGTGGTAGTCTGATAGGGATTGCATTAAATCTGTACAGCAATTTTGGGAGTATGGCCATCTTCACAATGTTGAAGAAGCATGGAATATCTTTCCATTTTCTGAAATCCTCTACGATCTCTTTTTTCAGAGTACTGTAATTTTCCTTGAAAAGGTTTTTGACTTCTTTAGTTAGGTTAATTCCAAGGTATTTCATTTTCCTCGGTGCTATATTAAAAGGTATTGTTTCTATAATTTCCCTTTCAGTGTGTTTGTTGTCTGTGTAGAAGAATGCTATTGACTTTTGGGTATTGACTTTATAACCTGCTATGCTACTGAATTTCTGTATTAATTCTAGTAGCTTCTGGGTGGAGTTTTTTGAGTCTTCCAAGTAAAGTATCATGTCATTGGTCCTGGACTAGGACTGGGTCTCTGGTTGTTGTCACTTGAGACAGGGGCTCATAATGCAGATCAGGATGGCCTTGAACTTACTATGCAACCCAGGGAGACCTCGGACTCCCATGGTGGTCCTGCCTCGGCCTTCCAAGTGCTGGGATTATGGGATTGTTACCATGCCAAATTTATTTTTAAATTTTGAAACAGGTTTTGTGCAGGCTGGGCTTGAACTTGGGGATCTCCTACCTCAGCCTCCTAGGGAGCCCCATGGTGCCTGGCATGTTACTACACTTTTGTAGTGAACAATCCAGTAGTCCAAGGTATATTCATAGGGAAACAGTCAAGGAAACTATAGAAGATTCACTTGAGGGCCAGCCAGATTGTCCATCAGACTATAGCGCCCTCTTAGGCAGAACTCTGGCCCAGGTTCGATCTGCAGCTTGCCGTGCAGGCCCCACTCCCAGGGCACACTGAGCTGGTGATTGAGAGTGGGTGTGGTGGGGCACACCTGTAATCCCAGCTGTTGGGAGGCTGAGCACAGGCAGATCATTACTAGTCGAACCTACGGAGTGAGAACCCTGTAGACCCTGTCCTAAATTCAAAAAAACAAGATTCACTTGATAAAATATGGTATAGTGATCAAAAGCTATATTTATTAGGCATTATATATATGCCATACAAGGAATAATCAGGAGACACACTTGGGGTGGTTGTTGTTGTTTTGGTACTAGAGGTAGAACTCAGGACCTTGAGCTTGCCAAGCAGGTGCTGTGTCACTGAGTTGTATCCCTGTCCCAGGAGACACACTTGTATATTTTAGTATGACATGGAAATGACAATAATCTTAGTTAGAGAATAGAGATACAACCATTTCTTAATGGTTATTATGAATAAATAATTGGGTTTTAGGTTCTTTTCTATTTTCCACATTTTCTATGTGAAGTTTTATATGAGAAAATATTAATGAAGAAAATGTAAAGTACATATAAAAATAAAGCAAAGATATTTAGTTGTAGTTACAGGATGCTGACAGCACCCATTTTAATCCGGGTGCTGTTAGCACCCCCTGCTAGCCAGCGGAGACGTAGCTGTGAAATGTACAGAAGGCCTGTCCCCGTGGAGTTGGCTGTCACCGAGCGAGAAGCAGAACACAATTACTTTCTGATGGGGTGTGCTCCAAGGGGGGGTGTGGGAGCTGTGGAACCAGAAAAGGGATATTACTGTGGGAGAGTATGGGAGGCGTCCCCGGTGGAAGGACAGAGGCCAAGCACAAAGGCTGGGTCAGCACCCGAAGGAGCGTGACTGACAGTTTGCCCGAGGAGAAGTGGCCGGTGCTGAGCAGACCTCAGGAGAGTGGCTCTTCTGGGAACCTCAGTGAGATCAGCATGCCGTGGGGTCTGGAGAGGCTGGCTGGGCCACCGTGAGACCACAGCCAGCTTGGAAAGTGGGGCACAAAAATTGGGACTTTCCCCTCCAGCCTAGACTGACATAAAGGGATTTAAATATTAAAAAGGAGGAAAAATGTTTGAACCACACTGGAGAATAGTTACAAGAAGAGATGAAAGGAGATGCCAGGACACCTACAAGGAGGTAGCAGTCGCTATAATCCAGGTAAAGATGATGATGGACACAGAAATATAAAAAGAGAAGAGTCTTTTGTATCCACATTAAGGTTTGGATGACTGGTTTGGGGATTTTTAAATAAAGTAATAATCCAACACTATGAAGGCTTTTTGTTTGTAAAATCTTCTAATTACATAGCAAAATTTTTACTTTTAAATCTTTTAATTGCCTTGCAGAAATTGTAGAAATCTTCAAGATAAATAAATTGTGGGTTAGCCCAGGATGAGCACCCTACCGAGGAAATCTCAGACACTATTTTAAAAGAGCATAGAATCCAAAGTGCTAACAGTTTTCTAGTTATGTGATGAGGGCTGTGGGAAAATGGACAAATACAGTTCTCAAAAAAATCCCAGAAGGATGGGGGAAAAAGTACCATTTGGTTTGGTGACAGATCCCCTTCTGTCACTGCAAGCTCCATAGGAAGCAGGAGCTCCAAAAAGTCCAGGGCCTGGCACTGAGCAAACCTCAGGGAGGCTGCGCTGGATGGGGGAATGAATCAATGCAGGAATGAATGCTGGTGGATTGAAGGTGCTTGCGATTGTCTTCTGGCTTTCTCCATCTCTTTGTTTCTGTTTCCTAAAAACTGGGCCCCATCCCCCATCTCCCAGCCCCCAGCCCCCAGCCCGGCCCATGTCCCTCACACATATTTATCATCTCCCTGGTTACTCAAGGTAAGAACTAAGTGAGTGAGTGGTCCAGAAAAGGCTTCTTCTAAGTACCGGTCATTTAATATAGTTTTTCTTCAAGTATACATCAGAACTAGGCAAAGTGGAAGCAATCTGGTCCACTTTTCCTGAAAAACTAGCAAGGCAGAATACTTTCACTGAAATAGTTGTCATAAGTGCTATTTGGTTAAAATGAAGATTTTTGTGGCTAAACACAGCTTCATAAATATGTATTTATGATGTTTGTTATAAGAAGTTCCAAATGCCAAAATTGGAAAAAGACTCATGTTCCCAGAAAGGAGAAGGGAATTGTATTGGGGAAGGCGGAACTGTTGTGTTTCAGGTTCGGTGCTAACATTGACGACTTGCAGTGAGTCTGGACGGGGTGGCAACAGACCCTGAACTTGAATTCATTTCTGCCTGATTTTAAAGCTTATGCTGCTTGTGCTGATTCTTTTTACTTTATGCCTTATAAAAATAAAAATTCGTACAGGTAAAGAAAGAGTAGCAATAAAGCTCTCCTTGGCAAGCTTTTAGAGACTGTTTCTGTGGACTTAAAGGAGAAAAAAATGAAGATTCTCAACTTGAACACTACCGCCTCCTCCTCCTCCTCCTCCTCCTCCTCCTCCTCCTCCTCCTATGTATTAAAAAAAAAAAAAAACTTTTATAAGAGAAGCAAGAAGTTACCTTTCCTAAGTATTCAGGATTGACATTGATAGAGGCGTCCTGACTTGTTTTCAAAGTCAGCTGATTTTGTGGATTTTATTCTTATAGACAGCAGTGTAGTTTCTCCTGTTTTAAGAGAGCTTATTTTCCTGAGCTCTTTCCTCCTCTTCAATGGACCTATATGATGCTGTTGGGACAATATTAAGCCTTTTCTCGGCGTGTCTGTTGGACCTGATACTCTGAGTCTCTTTCACATTTGTTGCAGCCAGCGCTGGTGTCCCCATCTGCCAGGCATATGGAATTGGTGGTACTCAGCAAATCTTTGTTCCAGTCTGGTACCAGAGAATATTTTGGAATTGTCTTGTAAATTCTCTCCTGTGCCCATTACATTCAGTCTCTACCATGGTTGCCAGGCAAATCAGCCTTGGAATCCAATTCAGGACGTCTGCCTTCCCTCATAACTGTGGGCCTCTGGAGGCCAGAAGCAAATCTGATTTATCCTTGTTATGCACCTCCGTGCCCCTCAAGAAGGGACGCATAGTGTGTTACACAGAGGAGTAGCCAGAACTAGCTTATGACTTCAGCTCTGGCTTGTGAGTCCTGCTAACTTTATGCATGCAACCAGAGAGCTTCTGAGAGTAGGCCAACACGAGGTGAATTCTGTGCTATCATTGATCCAATAACTCAAAATGGAATCTCATTAAAAACTTTTCCAATATGGATTTTGGTTATCCTTGAGTGATATTTTGAAGAAAAGTTACAATCCCACACTAGTCTAACCACATTTTTATAAATAAGAACTGATCATAATTAATGCTTTTAAAGGGCTTTTACACTAATAGCAAGAGTATTATCTTGCATCTAAACTAGAGTTTAGATTGTCAGGGGGCCTAAGCTGGACCAGCCCACAACCTCTGACAGAGAAGGTTGTGATTCTCACTACCAGAGGCTAAGACACTTGCAGGGGTTCTTTATTCCCAAGTTATGAAGTTTGGATGGTTTAGGGAAAATCATACCTTTGAATTCAGCTCGAAAAATGTGTATTGGATACCTACTCTGTACCTTGGGCTTCACAACATGCTTGACCTCCTGTTCCTTGTACTGTTTTCTTAAAGTTGGTAAGGGAGGTCCAGTGTTGACAGTTTCAGTAAAATGGTGCATTTGGGAACAGAGGACAGACCCACCTCTGAGAGTTGCAGTGAAGAAAATGACCTCTTCAGCACCTGAGCTGTTTAGTCTGCTTTCTGAAAACAGCGTTCCAGGAAAAGGATGTTGGAAAGGTCTTCGCAGGGAGAGCCGCATTCGATCTACGGCTCCTGATTCCATCATTTGTTTGGGTCTTTTTCAGGTAAGCCGTAACTTTGAGCTGGTTGGACGGGTTAACTTGGACCAGCTGGAACAGATGAAGGAAAAAATGGAGAGCTCCAGCAGTGACGATGAGGACAAGGAGGAAGAAATGAGCAGCAAGGCTGAAGACAGAGGTTAGTCTCCTCCTGCTGTCTGAGTCCCAGATGGCATCCACCGCTTTGTGGTGAGACAGAAGGGAGGCAGGAGGTCGCTGTGGGGGTAACAGAAGGAATGATCCTTCTTAGCTAAGTAGCAGAACAGACTATCTTAAAAAACATTAGGGGCCATCTCTTTGTAAACTATTACCAGCTTTAGAAACCCCAAGGAAAGAAGGCATTTTCTCCCTAATTATCAATATATGGGTGTTTTAAAAATATATAGCAGTGATTTGTTTCTAACAAAGAAGACTAGGGATTCTTCAGAATGAGGCCAGGCAGACTGCAGATGAATGACACTGTGAGGCTACTGAGGAATGAGAATGAATGTGGCATTGAATGCTTACTTGAAATGACTCTTGGTGGGACTGAAGAGGGAGTCGGCAAAGAGTATGAGCCCTCGCCATGCGCCCTTCTGCAAGGCCCTTCCCTTAACCCTTTGGAAGTGTTTCCCTCCATAGGGGAAAAGAGACCATATTTTATGTTGCACCATGCTTTTCATCCACTGGGGAAAGGCCAGTGCCTTGCCAACTTCCTGCCAGTCTAAAATTCATTCAAAATAAAAAGTTTCAAAACTATATTTAATTGTAGGCACTTAAGGTGTTGTTTCTTTGTATTACTCAATGTGAAATATTGCAAAAATTTCCAGACTGTACACATAAGGCTATAGGTTGGGGTGTGGTACCTTAGTTATTACAGATTTATCAGAAGCATATGGATTAAATGAGAAATAAACATAGGCCATTCCAGTGATGCGGATGACAGTATTGTCATTCCTGAGCATCATTACTTGTCAGAGTTAGTGCTGGTGGTCCTTATATATAACATTTTTTCTTTAATCTCAAACAATAATCTGCTGAATCTGGGTCCCAGGACTGCTACATAGTAGCTATAGGATTTTGGATAATTTATCTCCTTGTACATTCATCATTCATAAAATTATAATGCTATCATATCTTGCCTCCTAAGAATGTAATATACATAATATTATATGCCTTTAAAGGTAGATAAAACTTTAGCTATGGCACTTTGGTATTATATTTAACAGTTTATTTATTTTTTATTTATTATAAATTGTATATTTAATGGTGTACAACATGGTATTTAAACCACTGTGGAATTACTAAATTTAACTATTTAACATATGTATTAACTCACATACTTTTTTGTGGTGAGAACACTTAAAGCATATTCTTAGCAAATTTCAAGTATACAGTATGTTGTCACTAATTATAGACACCACACTGTACAGTAGATCTCTTGAACTTGTGCTTCCTGTCTGACTAAAAATTCATATCTTTTGACCCATATTGCCCTCAGCTCCCTACCTGTACCCTCGGTAATCACCATTATATTCTCTGCTTCTGAGTTTGACCTTTTGAAATCATTCTTGAGTGAGATCATTCAATAGCCATCTTTGTACTTGGCTTGTTTGGTTTATATGCTATTCTTTCGATTTGTACCTATTGTCACAAATGATAGGGTTCATTCCCCATGCTAACTAATGCTCAGTAATGTTCCCATGTGTACACACATCACGTTGTCTTTATCTATTCATCCCCTGAAGAAGGCACAGGTTGGTTCTGGATCTTAGGGACTGTGAGTGATGCTCCAGTACCCTTTGGAGTGCCGATGTCCCTTGCACATACTCACATCATTTTCTTTTTTTTTTTTTTTAATATTTATTTATTTATTTATTTATTTAGTGTGTGTGTGTGTGTGTGTGTGTGTGTGTGTGTGTGTGTGGCCAGCTCAGCCCACCAGGGGGCGGGCTGGCTGGCATGTGGTGCTGGGGATCGAACCTTGGTCCCTGTGTTTTTGCTTAGCTTAGCTTGTTCTAAGTAGGCGCTTTAGACCACTGAGCCATCTCACCAGCCCCACTCATGTCGTTTTCTTGGCACGTGAGCCTCGTAGTGGGATTGCTGGATCATGCAGTCATTCCAGCTTTTACTTTCTGAGGAACTTCCATGTTGTCTTCATAATGACTATACTGTTTTCATCAATTATGTGCAAATAGTCCTTTTTTGCTATATCCTCACCTATACTTATTGTTCTTCTTTATGATAATAGCCATTCTAATAAACATGCAGAAATATTTCATAGTGGCTATAATTTTCACTTCTTTCTGATTGTCAGTGTTGAACACCTTCCTATATCTGTTCAATAGTTTTATATCTTCTTTTGAGAAATGTCTATTTAGATCCTTTGTCCTTTTTCTTAGTGTTTATTGAATTCTTTGACTTCCTTAAATATTTTAGATTTTAACCAATTGACAAGTGTATGATTTATAAATATTTTCTTCTGTTTGTAGATTTTCTTTTTGTTCTATTATTTTCCTCTTTTCGAATTTTAGTTGCTTCAGTTGTAGGGTCATATCCACAAGATCACTTGCGCAGACCTGTGTCACAGAGCTTTCCCGCTGTTTTCCTCTGCTAGGTTTACAATATCAGGCCTTATGTTTATAAGTCCTTTAGCCATTTCGAGCTGGTTTTTATTTTATGTGAAGTAAGTGTCTGGTTTTATTCTTCTGGATACTTGTTATCCAGTTCAGTGTGCCCCACCCCCCACCCCCATACCAGGGATTAGACTTGGGACCTTGCACTTTCCAGGCAGGCGCCTATGCCGCTGAGCTATATCCTCAGCCCCACTTCACCATTTATTGAAAAGACTATTGTTTACCCATTGTGTTCTTGACAGCTGTTTCAAAAACCAATTGACTCTGTCCAGGGATGTAGCTCAGCAGCATTCTGCCTACCTGGCAAGTACAAGGTCCTGAGTTCAATTTTCAGACAAAAAAAAAAAAAATTGACTGTAAATATGTGAATTTATTTCTAGACTCTAATCTATTGCATTGTTCTATGTGTGTATTTTTGTGCCAGTACCATGCTGTTTTGATCACTTTAACTTTATAGTAGACTGAAGTCAAGAAATGTGATGTTAACCAGGTATGGTGGTACATGTCTGTAATCCCAGCACTTAGGAGGCTGAAACAGGGGGATTCCCGTGAGGCCCACCTGAAATAGATAATAAGAGCCTGTCTTACAACAAACAAAAGGGTCCAGGGAGCTGGCTCAGTGGAATAAGCACCTGCCTGGCAAGCACAGAGGCCTGAGTTCAATCCCCGGTTCTGCCAAAAAAAGAAAAAAAGAAAAGGGGTGTGATACTTTCAACTTTAGTTTATGCAAGATTCAGGGATGCGGGGGAGGCTTTTGTGGTTCCATAGTACAAATTAAATAAAGGCTAAGGATATATGAGAGTGGTATAGTACAGTACTTGCCAAGCATTCATGAAGTCCTGAGTTCTTTCTCTAGAACTGCAAATAAATACATTCGTATATGCATACATACATACATACATACATACAAGACCTTAGCCTAGTTCCTGGAGCATATTAACCACATAACAAATAACAACCATACAATGTATCATTATTGTCATTTTACAGATGGAAAAATAAGGCTTGAAAGTTTAAGAGCTTGTTCAAAGTAAATCATACAGGCAAAAATAGTAGAGGTTGAATTTAGGCCTTTGGCTCCAAAAAACAAGAATACTTCCTTCCCCATCCCCACCAGTACTAGGACTGAACCCGGGGCCTTTGCACTGAGATGCATTCCAGTCTTTGTTTTCCTTTTCCCCCTTAAGATAGGACCTTACTAAAGTGCTAAATTGCCCAAATTGGGCTTGAACTTGTAATCTTTCTCCCTCAGCCTCCCAGAGGCATGGGACCACAGGCACGTGCCACCACTCTTGGCAAGGCCTATTATACTGTGCACTACTGTGCCAAGCCCTCAGGAAGTGAAATGTGCTTTATTGAATGGGACTTGGCCCTGAAATTGTGGCTTCAGCGGCCTTTGGGACCTCACTTAAAGGCAGAATTTCACTTTTTAAAGCAGAATTTCTTTATTATTTCTCCTGCTTGCCCAGGCTGCAAGCTCAAGCTGGCCTATTTGGTAAGCCATTTTCTTCAACAGATTTCCCAGGTCCCTTTCCTGACCTCACCCTGACAGCCAGGGTATAGGACTATGGTTTTTTCACCTGGGGGTCTAGTTTGGCACTTGAGCTTCTGAGCGAGGCAGACATGAGGGTACTGAGAGCCCGTGTGTGTCAGTGTGTCAGAGACTTCATGCCTGTGGGAATCTGAAAAACACACACAGAAATAAAATCTTCACCATATAAGGGAATTGTTGTTGTAAAGCAGCACATTTATTATTAGGGAATGTATTCACCCATTTCTTAGAAAGAAAATGGTTGGGATCACAGACATGTGGCTTTGTTTTTTCTTTCTTCTTTTTAACCCTTTTCACAAATATGTTCTTCACAGTGAATTTTTAACACCTGTGCATTGTTACAAGCGTGCTCAGGATGAGCATGCTCCTGACAGAGGGTACAGAAACTTCTCTTGCTTCCTGGTTCTCAGTGGCCCTGCTGTTGCTCTTCAGAAAACAGATCATTCCTCATTGGATATTATAACTCTTAAATGTCCAAAGCCGAGTGCACATTATTTTAGAGATTAGGAACATTATAAGGCAGAAACCTTTTATTTTCCCATCCCTGTAGCTAAAACAAATGTGGGAAATTAGAAGAGATGGCAGTTGATAGGTGCATAGGATGTGGGGCATATTCTCCCTTCCGTCGGGCTTGGCCTCCTCCACTCCTTTGGCTCCACACGTCAGGCTACATGGAAAGAACTCCAAGGTCTCTACCCTCGCTGGAAGTGCAGCATGTCTTCCTCCCGGGGGGCATGGGTTTCCCCCAGTTACTTCCAGACATGTCCATGGGAATTAACAAGCCTAACCTTCCCTTTCCCCTCACCCACTTTCCAAGAGCGGCCTCCTCTGTCCCTCCATCTTTGAATAGACCTAGAATCAATTTTCCACCATTTCAGTAGATTCTTGCCAAGAAGAAGCAGCGGCAGACAATAGCCTTGGGGTGTTTTTGCCACACACTCTGGTTTCTAGGAGTAGCGAGGCTCTCGGGCTGAGGGAGAGCTGTTTGAAGTGTGACAGGTAATGAGTGGGCTTCTCCTTTGAGGATGAAACTTAGCGTGTGCCGTTGGAAAGCGTAGATGGCTGGTTTCATATTTCCCAAGGGTGAGCGAGCCAGTGTACCAGGAACATTCTCCTTGTTATCAATTTAGACTTCTGTCAGACACCCTCAATTTGGGGAGTTTAGAGCCTTACAGCCACCCTGTTTCCAGCTTCCTTTCTCAAGGCCAGGGCTGGTGAAGGATTTAACATGGACACACAGCATGGCCTGCCTGGGAAGCTTGGGGGGAATTTGAAAGAAGAGAAGCCAGGCATGAAGAAATCAAAATGCACCCTAACAGAATCCTGCCCACCCCACCCCCTCTCATTATGCCACTGGGGAGGAGTCAGGAAGGCATTCTGTTGATTTCTTGCCCAAGATAATCCCTGCTAAGGAATTAATGCGCAGAGCAGATGGTGCTGTCTCATTTCCAATGAAAAGAATCAAGGAAGATAGTCTGTGCAATTATTTTTAATGGCTTGTATGGTGATCTTCTTAATTTGTGAGAAAATGTTTCATCTTTTGTGAAAACTGGCCCTGTTCACACAGCTTTTTGTGCTGAAGATTAAGGTGTCCTGGAGCCCTTATCCTGTTAATGTCATCCGGAGGATTTTATGAGATGAGGTATTTCAGCCAGCAGACCTCTTCCCGTCACGTAGTATATCTGTGGGCCTAGAACAGTCACATACGTAAAGACGGTCAGTGCTGCCCTAAGAGCTGCCCTCACTCTGCAGTGTGACTTGGGGCCATCTTCTTCCAGTCCTCCTGCTAGTCCCATAGGAAGACTTGGCCCTCTGTGGTCTAATGAAAGACATATGGGCTTGGGACTTAAGAGAACACAAAGGCCATATAAGCTGTCATCTTGGAGTTTGCCAGGAGGTGTGGCCCGAAACAATTAGCTAGCAGACCCCTAACACTACCCAGCCTCACAGAAGGAACAAAGCAACCAAGTCAATATCGAATGCGTACCACAGACCCATCCAGAAACGTGTGCATACTCCCGCATGCACGTGTGCCACTGACTGAAGAGTGGATGGCAGGCAGCCGGCCAGGCTCCTCCATGGATTTGGCTCAGTTCTTTGCATACCAGTTGTCCAGATTCGCATTCACACAAAGTTCTTTGCTTGTAGATCTCACTCAGGGTGATGAACCACTCTGAGAGGTGCTGCTATCCATCACAGGTGACCAGTCTTGAGGCTCTGGTCTCACTTGGACCAAGCAGAACCTCTGAGGTCCACACGGACTGACAGGGTGCTTTACATGGCCTGGATTCTTTTTACTCAGCAAAGACAAACCAGTGTCAAATACAAAGTGAAGAGATGCCAAGCTATGAGGCATTGATAGAAAACACACCAAAGGGAGCGATTAAATAGGAAAAAGGGGTGCTGAGCTGTCTTAGGAATGGGCAGGTGCAGCACTGCTGGCCAGAAAGAGCCCGATGACTTGTGACAGTAACAGTTAGGAAGACGAGAAATAGAGGAGCGCAGGGGCTACTGGAGGAATGCATCTCAGGAAATACTAAGCGGCAGGAGCCTGGAAAGTCCTCCCCCACCTCACGCCCCTTGCAGGTGAAGGAGGAGGCCGGTGAGGGAGGAGACTGCTGAGCTGTGAGTGTGGACTTACTTCTTCTGCCGGCTCCCACAGCGCGGTTAACACCTATTCTTTCTCTTTGCAGAGCTGATGGGATTTTCTGACCATGGGGCTGCTATTAACCCTGAGAAGCGTTTTCCGTGTGAATTCTGTGGACGGGCATTTTCGCAGGGATCTGAGTGGGAAAGACACGTGCTGAGACATGGCATGTAAGTCGGGCCATCCCCAAAATGCCTTTGTCCAGTATGAGAGGGTATGAGAGGGCGGAGGGAAGTCAGGCTTCTGGTTGGTTCCCCTGACACTGGGCAGATCCTGCAGCATCTCCGTGGGAGGAGAGGCCTTTGGGAAGAAGGGGTTAGGTTTTCCTGTTGGTTTTTAAAGCATCACTGAGATGTGAGGAACTGTTATGGATGACAAATTCCTGGCAAGCCCACACTCACCAGTAGTGCTTTCTCTAGGCAGTGTCTTTAGTTTTCATTAATGTGACATTGTATTAGAGAACATATATCAGGGCTTCTATTCTTGCCTTGGTGACAGACTTGTTCCCTGTATGACCTTGAATGTGCCTGTGCCCTATCTCAGATAGCTTCTGTCTACTTCCCAGGTAGGTGACAGCAGACCTGTCAGATACCTTTCAGATCCTTGGCCATAAAACTGTTCCCTCACCAAAGCACTCTTAGTCTACCAGACTTCAAGAGAGGCTTGAATCCAGCCCTTTCTGGAGAAAATCCCCACAACTTCAATTGTCTAGGCTTCTGAGGATGTATCTAAGCTTCTCAAGACATAAGTTTCATCTTTCAAGTTTTTTTTGTTGCTGTTGCTTCTGGACCTGCCTAATACATCTTTAGTACCCAAGCTGCTCTTTTCGTCTTACTACGGCCAATCTTCAAGGTTCTGGGCTGAGCTGATGACTTTGAACATGACACTTTTCTCTTTCACCCCTCATGACTCCATAGAGAAGATGACATAAAACCATTATCTTAATCTGGAAACAAAGCACCGTGTAATCAAAACAATGGATTTTTTCATTCAAATCTTTAAAATTCCACAGAAATACAGACAGCAGGACTACATCACTGGCAATTTAGTCCTCTATGCATAACATTTTTTCAAAGGAAATCCCCAAAACCTTCTCAGGATCAAGGAAATAAAGACAGTCTTTTTTTGTTTAATTAACAATGGCCTATACACTCATTTTTTCTCTCCCATAAATTTTTATTGCAGGTCGCTGAATGACACCAAGCAAGTGATCAGAGAAGAGATCCATGCAAAAGAAATGGTGGAGGACAGTATGACAATGCCCTCCATAGAGGAAAAGGAAGACGATGAGCCAATCGGGATAGACTTTTCCCTAAGAAACGAAACAGTAGCCATCTGTGTAGTAGCTGCCGACAAATCTCTCCTGGAGAATGCAGAGGCCAAAAAAGAATAAGAGTTTGGTGAAATTCTTAATCAAACCGTACTTGAACCGTGATGAAAAAGTGGGAGGGCCAGCATGGGCTGCGAAGGGAGGGACAGTAAAGAGAGGACAGAACAAAGCTGCTTTTTAGGACTGAACAATCTATTTTCAAAGCACTGGTACCTGTGTGAGTGAGTATGTAAATTAAAATTATTTAAATGGTTGGAATATGTGGCTCCTTTTCCATACTACATCTTTTCCTTCCGGACCTTCACCGCGGACGTGGCGGATACGGAAGCGCCTCCCAACGGCCAGGTGCGCTCCGGGGCGGTCTTGGACAGCGCGTTGAAGCGGAGTCTCCGGGACAGCAGAAGACCGCTCAGAGGGGAACAATTTTTTTGACGCACGTCTTTCAGTGCGTTTTTCTAGTTTTAATACCTTAAGCTTTTTCAAGACCTAACTGCAGCCGCTTTGGGAATAAATAAATAAATAAAACAGAAAACAGAAAACAAAACAAAAAAAAAAACTGCTTTGCATAAAACAGTCACCTGTTTCCTAGTACCTCAAACTTAACCAAGGGAATTCTCTGCACTTGTCAGTACTACCTGTCGTCCTTGTGGTTAAATGTAGAGAGAACTGCTGGGCAAGATGGTGAATGGAGAAAAAAAAAAAAAGAGTTTTAAAGAAAGGAACACAAATTGTGCTTAAAATCCCCATGTGGGTTTTATTTCTTAAAATACTGTGATTTTTTTAATTATTTTAGTAAAAAACAAAACAAAAAAAAGAAACAGACTTTAATTATTAGACTGTTTGTGAATTGTCATCCTTTATTCCAGGTAAGCTGTTTATTAGTGTTCAACTATAATTTAGAATTTGGTAGATTCATGTGAGCTAATTTGAAGATGATTGTGGAGTTTTGTTCGCCACATGTTTATTTTCTATTGATTTGAGTGTTACAAACACAGCACAATTCAGTTTTTCATACGAATTGTTTTTTGTGTGTGCGTTGTTGTTGTTTTGATTTTGGGGGGCAAGGGAGATTTAGTTTTTTGTGAATAGGAATGTTTTTATTTTAAACATGGAAATAACAAAGAAGTTAACTTTCTTTCTTTCTTTTTTTTTATTTTTATTTTTTATTTAACTAAAGAACCAAACTTTCGGCACAGCTATGCAGCTTGTGGGCCAGATGAAGAGGTCCTCTTCACCCTTTTGTTACTTGTCAGATTAACACATTATCCGTCTCACACCAATAAGTTCTATTAGGATGGGCTGGCTTTTTGTGTGATTCTCAGATCTGTGTTTTTGTTCACATTGTGTTTTGCGAGGTGTTCTCGTTTATTTTTGGGGGTGGGGGGATATGCTAGAATCCCATCCCTTTGGCGAGAGTGGAAAAGAAATGACGGATATCCTACAAGGAGCCTGGAGAACTACCTTTTTTTTTTTTTTTTTTTTTAATCTAGCTACCAGCGGCTCTGTTTCCCCATATTAGCTTTTTTTCTGGAAGAAGCAGCTTAGACTAAATCTATGCCTACATTTATAATATGTTCTGATTGTGAACAGAGGGTTTTATTCCAAAAAGGAGAAAAGACCTTTTCTTGAAGCCTAGGTTTTGGAAGCCTGCGTGCGTGTGAGCTGGATGTGTGAATATGTGCATGTGCGCGTGCGCGCGTGAGTCCTTCGTTTTCATGCTTTGTTTTGTTTTGTTTTGTTTTTTAACTTGGAAGGGTTGGGGGCGGGGGGGAGGGAGCAAGGGAAGGGGGATTGCTGAGGTAACAGTGTCCCACACAGCTTCAAATAAAATCCATGGAAAGATGTTGCATTTGTGGAGTAAGTGCGTACTTGAAAAGCATGTTGTTCTTTTTCTTTCTTTCTTTCTTTTTTTTTTTTCAGTTAGGATTTTTTTTTTCTAGGACATTTAATTTCTTTCTAGGGATGGGGGCCATCATGTGAAAACCAGAAAATGGGGAAAGTGTGAATTATCTAGACAAAGATTCATTTTGTGTCCATATTTGTTTTTTAATTGGCCTCATTTCAAATGTATTAAACAGTTCCATACCTGGATTGGGTGTTTGTAATGGTTACCAAAAAATACCAAAAAACAAAAACAAAAAAAATCAAAAAACAAAACAAAAAAAGGAAGAAAAAGGAAAAAAAAGAGAAAATAATTGTGACATGCTTTTATCACTACATTATTTTTCAAATAACATGTAAATATTGTAATCCATTGGATTTTGTTTTGCTAACCTGTTAATAAAAATATGGGACCATTATCCTTTTAACAAGGCTAGAATGTCATTTTTTTCTTTTTCGAACATATACCTGATATTTTGTGGCCGCACATTTTGGATGCATTATTATAATTCTGTTGACTGTAATGACATAGAATTTACAACATTTTTTGTTGTTTAATTTATACAGAGGACATTTTTTTCAGAGCTTGAGAGAAGAAAATAAATAGCAAAATAATAACCTATTGACTCCAATAATCAGTATTTCCCAATACTTGATAAAGGATGGGGAAAGCCTGAGTCCTTGACGCCAAGGGTTTAAAAACAAAAAATAAATAAAACCCACAAGTAGGTTATTCAAGTTGTTTGCAACATACATTTTGTAATGAAATGTGAGAAATTAATAAAGGATTTTTTCACATGTGTCTATGTGCATCTGTCGTAAGTCATTTCTGGTTGGGCCTACTGAGGGGAAGTGCAGAAATGGTGCAGTGTGCTGCCTTTCCATTCATGCACATTGAAGCACTTCCTCCTGGTGAGTCTACACAGGTGTGGGAGTAAAGGTAAAATTTCGATGAGATGCGCACTAGGGCTTTACGTTGTTAATGCCGTATTCCTACAACACGTACTCATCAGCTACTGGGAGCATTGTACGGAGGCAGTATTTTCCACCCAGAATTTGAAAATGATACATGAAGTTTCAAGGGGGAAGATCCAGAGCTTGACTCCAGGAGCGTAGTCACTCTAACTCTTACGTCACAGACAGGGACAGGCTGTGTCCGTGTTCTTCGTCTTTACCAGAAGTGTGAGCCTCTGACTGCGCCATTGTGCACCAAACAGACACCATTCACTTATGTTTTCAGCTATCCTGTTTAAATCAAAAGAAAACTGAAGACTAGATGAAAACTGCTAGCATTGATTGTTTTTTTTTTGGGGGGGGGGTCAGTGGTTTGTTTATTTTTTATTTTATTTTTTTTCCTATATCTTTATTGATTAACAAATAGCAATGAGACAACTTCAAACCAAATTGGTAGGACAGTTTCAATAATT